TTTCAAGATTTTCTTATTTAATCACTAGTGTACATATATTTATATTTATAGATACATATATTTAGTCATCTTTTCTCTTTTACCACGTCTCTCTAATATTTTGCTCCTTACTATTTTTCTATTTTCTTTATTATTTTATTATATTTTCTCCTACTGTATCATGCTGCTGAGTGACTGCTGCTCGTCAAACACATTTCATTGCAATGTTGACCCTGTGCTAACTTGCATATGACAAATAAAACTGAATCTTATTTTGACATTCTTTGGTTTTGTTGAGTCCTCAGTATCATTCAGCTTCTTTCTAGAGAAACTCTTCTCCTAACAAAAGATCCAAGTCCTCCAGTTTGAGCCTGACGCTCGTCCTTCTCCTCTGGAGCTGCGATCTGGAAAGTGCCTCCAACCAGACTCTGCAGCAGGTTGGAGAAACTTCTAGAGCATTAGAAACGATGCATAAATGCAGAAGAGTAGGACTTATAAACGACCTTAACCAAAGAAAAGTAATATGATCATCACCGAGCGGTGAACCACACGCCATCTGCTCTGCAGGCCGAGGACGGTTCATAGCAGCGTAATTGATTTCCTGTGATGGGCCCACACTGCTTCATATTCATCAGTGTGCAGCATCTCTAAATGCGGGGATTTGGGCCCAGTCCTTTCTCTCTTTTTGTGGTGCCAGTCAAATCCGCCACGCTCTCAGTTATGCTATGCGACTGTGGCACAGTGTCATTGTGACACAGAAATAGCCGATTCCCGAGCCCCGAGGCCACCGTCCCACTTCAGCTGCGAGGTCATACGGCGGTCAGCGGTGACAGATTGAGCGAGGATGAACACGGGAACATTAAAATCCATTTTAACAAATTGTGTGGTTTGTGTTACATTCTGCTCACAGCTGTAGAAAATAAAATACTAAATGTGCAAAACAGAAAATTCTGTCTGTGAAAAGCTGCACAGACCTGACACACCAAACTAAAGTCATTAAAGTGCATTTTCAGTTTGTCTCTATCGGTTTGGAGCTTATGAGATCGTGACAAATTGTCCTACTTTCCTAAAACACTAAAATCTTGAACAAAAAAATACTTAAAAAGCAAGACATGAAAAGGGAACCACAAAGACTCTTCAGGGGGTTTGAACAGAAACTGTAAGAACGGCAGGCGTTGGTTCTCATCCAACTCCCAGTTTCTCCACGGTGCGAGGCATTCATCATCCTTATCACGCCCATTCAGTGGACCTAATTCTCTTTAAAATCAACTGTCAATTCTCATTTGGCTGCCCTCGACGTCTCACAGGCTTTGAATTCTCCCATGAGCTGGATCTGGGGCGAGTTATCTGGGAAACGAGAGCCAGGACTGGGCTCCGTGGTGTTGGAACCTGTTGGGTTTCCGTGTGTTTTCCAAACCCAAACAAGCACTAAAAGAGACTTAATTGTGAAGCCATGACCAATCAAAGTGAACACCGTCTAAACCAGAAGCGCCTCTCTCGTCTCACTGCGACACACACCCACTGATCAGGCGTAAAAAGCTAACCTGGCCTCAAACAACATGCAGCTGGTAACATTTAATCAGTCAGAGAAATGAAGACGTGAATAACGACCGTCAGAAACCTCGAAACATGTTTGAAAGCACCGCTGCACAGCGAGAACGGTGCTGGTACGAGCGCACGGTTATGGGACCAGTTTCATCTTTTCCAAACATGAGGTCGAACGAGACCACAGCTGTGACGCCGCGCACAGCCGGCCCGTTACAGTTACGTAACCTCCATCTCTCCTCAGCGCGTCTATACACAGCGCCGTGAACCGGGGCGGGAGCAGATGCACAGATGGTCGGCAGAGTGCTGCACATCCGCTACGCCGAGCAGGGTGGGGCCGGGCGAGGTTGAAGGGTTAAAGTGACGCAGAGAGAGGGAGCAAAGAGCGCGGGGCATCGATAAACTAAACACAGGCCGGCAGAGCGCCGAGCCAACACAGCAGTTTGGCCCGTAATTACTAGACAGACAGAACTTCACAAGGGATCGGCCGCCATAAAGGACGGGATTAACTTAATGAAGCGATGCATCTGCTCCGTGCTCCATCTTTTAGCAGCCATGACAACAGTGAGATGCTGTGGATGGTCAGTCTGTGGATTATCCACGAGGCTGAAATCACAACCCAAAACAATGAAGCTGTGTTTCCTTAAAGTCTGACTCGTTGGCTCGCTGCTCAAAGCCTGTTATATAAAACAGCAGCTGACTACATGTTGTGGTTAATCGCTCTCATCTGTCAACAGGCCAGATGTGCGGTTCAAACCCATCTCAGGACACCACGCCCTGTTAAGTCGCTGGCGTTTTAATAATCCTCTGTTCTCAGGGCCCAAAGGGACAAAAACGAAACCTTCATGTTTTGGTAACACGCTGCAGCCTCAGCAGCTAGATGGGCCACATTTACAGTTTTTTACAGACGCTAGGACACATGTCTCAATACTTAGGTCACTTTTGCAAAACTCTTCACACAATCCTCCTAACTGACCGTCAGCTTGGCAAAGCAGCTCATTTCACATTCAAAATGCACGACAACTACCAAAACACTTCATTCAGGTCTCAAATAAACTCATTCTTCCAGAACACTAGCAAAGGTTGACAGCCGACAAACACACTTTGTCACCCACAAAACAATGACCTAAAAAACACTAACAACATGTAGCATTACAGTGTTTTCTTGTGTAAAACAAGGACACATCTCTGTTTATAATTTCAATATATGTTACTGGAATGAATCAGACATCATGCAGAATTCGTTAATATTTGTTTATGTATTTTTATGTTTTTGCACTAAGTAATCCCAAAATACAAGAATCTGTATACACACCATCCACTGATACACATACAATAGTAATGCTAATCTACTCGGTCTTCTCCATTTGGCCACAGGTTCTCATCCACATCACATCTTATGTCATCGAGGGCAACACACCTAGGAAAGAATCTTCTGGCTGCCAGAATTGAAGGAGTTGAAAGATTGAAGCAGTAACACCTGTGCAGATGTTCATCTACAATGAGAATCAGCTGTGGCTGGTTAAACTGCGTGTTTAGATTTAAAATATGTTTCAATAAAATATTGCTGTTGCATTTTGCTGTCTTTTTAAGTTTTGCATTGTGTTATTGTTTTGGCCATAAGTTTAACAGTTTTGAAAACAGTATGTAAGCACATGCAAAATGTCCTGTACGTACAAAGATTTTTGGCAGTTGTTGTGTCTGAGTGAGAAGATAATTCATGAAATTTGAGAGATGTAGTCATTGAATGCATTTTGTGCCAAAACAATGATAACTGGTCCTCAGTTTAGCCCACATAGACTTCTGTTGTGCTCACTGTGTGAGGAGTTTTGCAAACGTGACCTAAGTATTGAGAAATGTGTCCTAGCGTCTGTAACAAACTGTAAGTAGGCTGGCACCTCCTCAGCAAACACACAGCTGATCATGCTGACACCTAACGAGCTGCTCGTGTCCACGGGAGCAGAAAGTGTGCCACGCACACCGAGTCACTCATTTCACATGTATGACAGACATGTGAATCTGCTCTCAAAACGTTGCGTCAGAACGCAGAGAAACGACCGAGGAACGGAGGCAGATTATCAGCACTGTGGACGCTGACTGGAAGCCCAACGGGCTCTGAAGGCTAACATGAGTGACCGGACTCACAAACATCACACGGCTCAGATCCAAACCTGTTTAACAGACCCCGTCCCTTTCACAGCAGTAACACAACTTCATTAAATGAAGAACTAAAAGGCTGAAGCCAACATAGAGTAACTGTGGTGTGTGAGACACTCATCGATCCCCAAAAAGGTTCCAATTTCATCTTTAGAAGAAAGAAGGAGCAGCGAGACAACAAGAACACAAACGTTCAAATCGCTTTAACCCAACAGCGCCCATGTGACGTAGGACTGTGCAGGTACGAGTACAGGTGAACACACAGGGAATTTACAGCAAGCATCACCTGTGGCTCGCTACATCCAGGCAGCTCTGTTAGCTAAAAACTCTGAAGCGCACAATTTCAGCTGTGTGTGAAGCGATCAGTGATCCAGGTCGTCGTCGCCTCGGAAAGAAAAGCGTCTGGACTGAAAATGTGGGAAAGAAGCTTCTCAGCTGAGGGACTGTTTCATGCTGTGGGCTGATCGATGTGATCGATCCAACAATCACTGAAGCTCATATATGAAGTCCTCCATGACACTCTTTCATATACTGTGTGAGGCAGTTATCACAGCTCTGTTTAGTTTGGAGTCTAGAACAGCTGCAGCCGGCCGGCAGATCTGACTAACAGAATAATAACACTGTTCATGTGCTGTAACGTTTCACATAGAAATCTAATTATTGCTTTTTGTGCAAATTCTTGACGGGGTTTAAGCCTTTTTAACAGCAGCTTTGCTCACCGCTGTTACACTGTCAATTACAAAATGTTTTTAAGCATTTTTAAATGTCTATTTCAACATGTAAACTCATTTTAAATGTTGAAAAACATTAAAACTATTAAAGGCATTTGTGATCAAATCCAAAGTTAGCGTATCCAACACTGTGGCAGCGCAGCTTCATGAGAAATCTAGAAATAAAATATAACATTTAAAAATAAATAAACTGTGTTAAAAACATACAGATTTCTTTTTTGTACAGTTTTTACATATTGCATAATATATTTTCAGTTATATTCTATTATCCTTTATTTTAATTTAATAGCTTTTGTGAGTGTGACTGTTTTTTTGGAGGGGGGATAAATTTTATATTAACATATTTTTATTTTTTTAAATTATAAATTTATTATAATATAGTGAAGAGCAATTTTTTTTTTAATGAATCGCATGAATTTTGCTGCTGTCAGAGTTTGAGCGCCATCACTGTGAGAGGAAAACTGTCATTCCTTTTGTTTATATACGTGTGTGTGTGTGTGTGTGTGTGTGTGTGTGTGTGTGTGTGTGTGTGTGTGTACAGATAGATGGTTTGTCTTTCTCAGATCACATGGCAGCGATGTACCGTACCTCCATGGCGAGAGCAGCAGTTTGCTGGTCGTAGTGGTTCAGGACGTTGGGCATGAAGGTGGAGTTGTAGGGCAGCCCCTGACACATGCGCAGGGTGATGGGCTCACAGGTAAACAGACTGTGGCTCCCGGCCACAGCATCCATGGGGACGGCAACACACACGGTCAGCATGGACACGGAAAGCACCCACAGGAGATCCATGATCCGTACGGGAGAAAAGAAGCAAGACCCAGGAGACGACGGCTCACGGAGAGGGCTCGAGCCCTGTCAGCATCGTGGGCTTTTAACCAGGAAGTGGGAAAAATTACCAGACTTAAGGACTATCTGTTTGCCCCTTCCTCCTTGTTAGATCACAGAGAAACACCGTGGGCTGAGCAGCGTAATCCAACAGGGCCAAGTTGGCTGCATCCATCACCATGACTACACTGAGTCACAGGGCCTCCATCACCTAGGTGATGCTGTGGTCCTTTAAGATGCTGAAAACACTCCTCCGTCTCCTGCCTTCACAGACGGCGATGATGCTGGAGGAAATATGAGCGACGACCCCCTGTGGAAACGATGCTCTGCCTGCAATCAGAAGAATACAGTACAGCAGCTTGTAAATGTAAATGTTAGACGTTAGTGGTCCAATAATTACAACAAGTGCAAACCAAAAGGAAACCTTTTAACTGAAAAAATGGACTAATTGTAAGCGGAGCAGCACACAAACGGCTGCTTTTCAGGTCACTAACTATGGCTGGGTTCTGCCCATCAGTGCCCACATTAAATGCATTATTAAACAGCAATAGATCATTACAAAATAAGCAAATGAGTGAGCATTTAAAGGGCAAGTCTGAGGAGATTTACTCTGCGTCCCGCAGTACTTCTGTAGTAATAACAGCAGCTGTGGTAGTAGACACCTCCGACATTAATAATATTATTATTTTTACAGTTATCTGCACTAATCACAGCTCAGAAACTGTTTAAGTCATTTATTAAAGTTATTTGTTATTTATAGAGCTCATTTTTATCCATCGCTGCAGCACACACCCTTCCCAGCCCCGCACCTTTGCCCCCGACCAACACGTCAAACACGGTCTCCGCTCCGTCGCACCTGCCGGTGTCTAACCCGGCCGCACTTCAACTTTCATTATTAACGCGACACAAGCGCGTCCATTAGCCTACCTGTGCGTCAGCGCTAACGGGCTCCTCCTATAGCTCCTCACCGGGACTCAGGCACTAATTGCTGCTCATAAATGGGAGTGTAGCTGCCGAGCGTTACACGGAGGCTCGTCGCGGTTGCCGCTGTAACTGACCCGCAGCAATAAAAACGAGCGACCTGAGCCGAGAGAAGCGTGAACGCGGCGCGGCGCAGACAAAAGATGACGGTTAGTTCATCCTGACTCACGGTAACCGCTCCGCACCGGTGCATTCAGTCACCGAGCCGGGCGGCAGCGGAGGCGGTGGTCTACGAGTAACACCTCCACACCCGCTGAATTTAACGCAACTTTACCTGAACGCTGTCCGCAAAATTCGGGGAGTAAGCGGGGTCTTCGCCGCTCCTCGAGTTGGTAACAATGACTGAATGTCCCTCCACCAGCACCCTCCTCTCCTCCTCTTGTCCTCTTCCTCCGTCCTCCTCCCCCGCTCTCCCCCCTCTACGCAGAGCGACAAGTGCGCGAGACTTTTTTAACGGCTTCCGCTACGGACTATCAAATTAAAAGCCTCTTCCACAAACGCCCGACTTCGTGGAAGCCAAAACACGACTACAGTGAGCTTTAGTCGAGCTGAATACATATAAAAGAAGCGATACGCGGTTTGCCACCTTAGTCGCGGATGTTGGCCCAATTTATTGCAACATACAAAAATATAAAAACTTTTTTTAGTTCAACAATAAAAGTTGAAGTGTTGAAAATTGTGCTTAAATGATTTACATTTGATATGACCACCTTTGTTTACAACTCGGCCTGAACTCCCAGAGTCAAGCTTTCTTGTCATTTCTTTAAATATCCTCAGGAATAGTTCTCAGGCTTCTTGAAGGACATTCAAACAAGGGCGTCATTTCCAGGGGGGTTATGGCCCCCCTCCCTGGAATGTACCCAGATTTATTTATTTTGTTTGACAGAGGTCTTGCGTTTCTATCCAGGTATGTTTTTACTGCATTGGTCGTGTGTTTGAGATCACCGCCTTGCTGAAAAATAAAGAAATGGAATCAGATTCTTTCCACCTGGGACTGCATGGTGGATGAAAACTTGACGGTGCTTTTCTGTGTTCATAATTCAATCAGTTTTGACAAGATCTCCAACAGCACTGTCTGAAAAGCAGCCCCAGACCACGGCAGAGCCTCCACTGTTTTAAACATGGTTGTAGAGACTTCTTCTTGTACCTCTTTCCTGATGACCCCTCGACATACTGATTAATCCAATACTTGAAACGAAGAATTTCACATCCGACCTGTTGTAATTGATTTTCATCCCAGTTCTTGTGTGAAGTGGCATACCTCAGCCTTTTCTCCCTGTTTCACTTCCTGAACAATGGCTTCTTGGCAGCCACCCTTCAAAGCATTTCTGATGAAGCGTCAGTGAACAGTAGACGGATTATCTGAAGCTCCAGAAGCATCTCTCAGATCCCGTGTCAGGTCTTGGGTGGATTTTTTCCCTTGTTTGTTAAGGACATGGCGTTTAGATATTGGGATCTGCTGCAGATGGTTTTGGCTGACAGCTTCCTGTTTGTCCTCCACATGTCTAGTTTTCAAAATGATATAATCCAGCTAGTACATAGTTAAAGCCAAACAGTTGTGCTCTTAAGTTTACATTAAGACATTTGTGTAGTAAATTTCACAATTCTGAACTTGTGTAATATGGCTGGTTTTTGGTTTTGCTGTAATAGTTTTCAGCTAACAGCTCTTTGGGAATCATCTTAATGGTGCAAAGTGATCGTTTGGTGCCAAACTGTGTTGCTGTAGGTGGTGTTTGTAGGTTCAGCTTAACTTTTGGGACCAAATATGCTTTTGCGACTGGTTGCTAGTGCTTAGTGCTTAAACATACATATATTTAAAACTGCTTCTTTGCTGACGTCCTGTCTGTTATGTGTAGAGAAAACAGCGGCTGTGTTAGGTGTTGTTTCATGCTGACTGGTCACAGGTCAGGTTTAAGCGGCTTAAAGACGGAGAGAAGGACGAATCTTTAAATCTCGTCAGAGAGGCTTTGAAAGACTTCTTGGTGTCTTTGCTTTTCCAGTGAAACACACGTTTCTTCGTCAGTCCAATAAAGAGTGAACTATTACTCTGAAGGCACAGGGCTCGTTTCCGGTTACACTCCCGCGTGTCTAACTTGACGCAGTTCTCCGTTTTTCTTCGCGGCAGGTTTTCTGTCCTCGTTGCGCGCGACCGCCCATCCGAGAACGAGCAGGCTTTGAATCAGAAACTTGTGTGACTGCTGGGAGTGAAAGCGTGGAGCTGGAGGCCTGCGGGACACAGCAGACACAGCCCTGAAGATGCTGTTGGTTTATGATTCTTATTACACACCAACTGTTGGTTATTACTCCGTAAACAGATTCGTTTGTCCGGGCTTATTACTGCTGGTTCTGCTGCTGCGATAGTCAATAATAATGCTTTGTTTTTCTGTTGCTGTGTCAGCCAATGCGGAGCAGATGGTCTTTATAGTAACTGCAGTGTCAGGACTTCTGCACCACGTTTGTCATCATTAGAGCGAGGGAGGCCCGCACACTCTGCTTTTCTCTGCAGCGACTCCCACATCACCGCCTCCATGTGTGTCACAGGCTGTGACAAGCAGGAGAGCCTACACTCACGGTTACTATGGAAACAAGTAAACTATCCACGGGGAAGTAGGAGAAAGAAGTGTGTGGGCACCAAGGCCGAGCGCGCACCTACAGAGTCTGGAGCTGGATTTCTTTCTGCGAGCTGAGCTGAGGAGCTGCGGGTGAGTGAAACACCGCAGGACGGTGTTAGTGTTGGCTGGATTTTAAAAACATGGAACTATTAGGCACTCCTGCTTCATGTACACACATGAACACAATGTAAGGAAAAGCAACACATACCTGAGTAGCAGTTACTGTTTTTGTATTCTAGAGCATCATCTTTGTTGACGCACTCTGTGATGGCACTTGCAGCAAGATCTTTTGCAAGCTGTTCGAAGACGCAGACCAAACGGAGCACCTGGACTCCTCTGAACAACCCGCGGGCCAACAGCAAGGTCACATCAGCTCACACTGAAACTGTGCCGTCAGCCAAAGGGTGGCTGTTAATAGTTTCAGTAACTTTTATAAGATGTACAGCAGTGTCGTAGAAAGTAAAACTAACTACATCTTTTGATGAACGGTGTGACAAAATGTTAATGTCTGTGTTAAAGCTGGTGAAGTAGAAAAGGGGGACACAAAAGTACAGACCTGAGTACATAAAACAGCTCTAACAGTGGAGTCAAGCGACTCTCAGCTTCCTTTTAAATGTTCCCTTCGCTGCAGTAAGATTTGTGTCTGTTTCAGCCTGTGCTTGCAGGACCAGGTGTTTGCCTGACGCACTCTTGAAACCCCCCAAAATTATCCACAATAAAATAATTTGATTACATCTAAATTGAATTTACTTTATTGGCATACATTCAGTTTATATGAAGCTAATTTTTCTTAATGACTAATTATTTAAATAAATAAGCCTTAGATTTTAATTTTTCTTTAAATGATTGCTTCCTGTTTATGCCGGGAATTTGATTTCATTTTTTTAACATATAATGTGTTTAGTAAACACAGTCACAAAGCAGGAAATCATAATAATGTCCGTGGATGATCTAGACAGGCAATAATATCTAAATTAATATGCAAATATTTGTTTTTTTACTTTATGGTTTTTTTAAAGAAATTCCTTTTAATGAAATGCATTCATTCATTTATTTGCATCTGTGTACTGGTTGCATTGGTCACTTCATTGGTCCTGGTCCTGCTTCATTATGTAAACAAAGGCGCTGTCATTAAAAGTGTTTTGTGAGCTGAGCTTCTGATTATTTGTGGATCAGCAGCAGGCTGTGACTGCCCTCACTGTCAGAACAACACCGGGCTGGCTTTGCTTTAGTGTGGAAGCTTGAACAAACAACATTGGCTCATTTCCTTGTTTTCTGTTTGACGGTGTTGGTCTTCCATAAATACCAAGTTCCTCGAAAGATTAAACAACTAAAAACTTTAAAACTGAATACTTTGGATACTATAGTTGTTAACCTTTGTCACTGTTGTCTCATTGTAGGTGTTTGAAGAGAGACGAAGCCTTCTAGCAAAGTGGGTATGTGTGAGCAGATGAATGAAGAAGCACCTAATGCGCCCTTACAGTGATCCCAGCGTGAGCTGAAGCCCACACAAATCCAGCTAGCAGTTAGAAACCATGCTGTGCTCACTGCTCTTCTGCTGTATTCTTTCATGTCTTTACCAGTTTGACAGGTGGTCTGACAGTCAGAGGAAGGCGGTGCTGCAGGACTTGGTGTTGAGCTGTTCAGTGGAGCAGCTCAGGTTCCTGAGCCTCAGTGTGAGCAGACAGCTCCCCCTGCAGGCCGCAGACTTCACCTGCCTGCTCCCCAGAGCCCTCTCCCTGTATCTCTTCTCCTTCCTGGACCCACGCAGCCTCTGTCGATGTGCACAGGTACACGTGGATTCATTAATGGGGAGTGACGTAAAGTTTTGACCCTTGTTCTTGTGAAGAAGTCTGGTAAATGAATGATTCGATCCTCCATGTGCAGGTGAGCTGGCAGTGGAAGAGCATTGTGGAGCTGGACCAGCTGTGGATGCCCAAGTGTCTGAGGCTCGGCTGGCTCCTCAGCTCCTCCCCGACACCATTCGAACAGGGCGTCTGGAAGAGACACTACATCCAGACAGTCCAGGAGCTGCGGCTGAGCGTCCTGCAGGTTAGGAGATCCCGAAGAGATTTAAACAATTATCCTACCTTTGTTTAACAACTCGATAACACAAAATAACATTATTAAAATCTAGCTTTCAAAAAACAAAACAAAATAAAAGACCCTTTTTTTCCCAGGGTGCTTCATCGCAGCAGCAGTTTGTGGTTTCAGATGTCGCAGCAGCAAGCCGTGGTCACAAAGAGCCGTCAGAAATAGCAGCCATCAGGTTGGAGGAGTGTCCAGCATCCACCAAGCAGCAACCTGGAAGCAGCTCCAGCACAAGACTGAGACAGGAGAAGCAGCCAGGTGCACCCCCACCATGGAGAGACTCTGACAGACGTCCCAAAGACACACTGCGCTTCAACTACCTGGACAATCTGGACCCCATCGAACAGGCGCTGAGAGCGTAAGACGGCAGGGAACATTTGCTGAATCACGTCTGGCATTAATGAGGCTTTAAGGTTCTTTATAGTGACGGCCCCACGGTGGCCGTAGCTCAGGTGGTAGAGTGGGTCACCTACTAATTGGAAGGTTGGTGGTTTGAGCCCCGTCTGCTCCAGTCTGCCAAATATCCTTGGGCACGACACTAACCCTAAGATGCTCTGTAGTGCATCCGTTGGCGTATGAATGCAGAGAGAAATAGCATAGTGGGGAAAAAGTGCTTTGATTGCTCAGAGTAGAAAAGTGCTATAAGAACAGGTGCATTTGGCATTAAAATATTATAAATCCCAAACAGTGTCCTGTTAGCATGCACCAGGCGTCTGTGGAGAGAAAAAGTTCCCATTCAACAGGAAGAGACCTACAGCAGAACCAAGCCATCTGCCAAAATGGATATAAATGATGGACATTAACAACACAAAGAGCTCTGACAGCTCGATGAATGCCTCGGTGTTTTTTAACCAGACATAATATGTGAAAGAAACTTATCAGTCATAGAGTAGACATCCTCTAAAGCACAAACTGCTTTGTCCTTGTTTATGGTTCAAATGGGGACCAATGTTTATTATATCAACATTATATCCACAAAGGAACTAGAAACGTTTGAGCTGGGTTATGTCATATTTGGGGGCTCGTCCGGGAAATTTTAGACTTGCTTGTGGAGAGAGGGTAGCATCAGAGGTTTTTCTTCACACCGTGCTTTCATCACGGTGTTTTTCAGGTCTGGGAGAACCCAAAGACCAGGATATTGCAGGAGGGCATTTTAATTTATTTAGAGCTCTTGGAGGAACCCTTTGCAACTCACCTTAGAGTGGCAGTGCAAGAGTCAGCAGGTGTTGCCTGGACTTAATAGTTGATTAATTAATTTGCATTTCAGTAATCTTTCATGATTCTCAGTTTTTGACTTTCATCTTATTGGCTGCCCCATCAGAAGGTTTGAACAGGTGGTGGGTGGGGCGATTTCTGCCTCACAACTGTCTGAGGGCTGAGCGGTTTCACCACGGCGTTCACTTGCAGATAAACTGATGTCATTATCATGCATGATCGTTCCCCTTTACTGACTCTGCTGTCTTTCTCCAGGCAGATGAGAAACAACAGCGCCTCCACCTGCTGCACTAACACATCAAAGGCGGATGATGGGAAAAAGAAAACACTCTCTGAAGCAAATTATAAACTACGCAAAGCCAAATCGCTGGTAAACCACTCCCCATTCATCATCAGTGCCATATGGCTGTGACCTCCTTGTCTTAATCACAGGGAGATAATAAACGGAGACAAATCTCTGGAGACTGCATCCAGCAGGCATCATGCATTATGGAACAGCGTTTGCACAGCGGGAGGCAAATTATGCTGATGATGGTGTTTGAGGGAAGGGTGGCGGAGAGGGTGAAATAGAGGACACTGCTGCATCTAATATTCAGGCCTTGGTGGAATTACTGTATATTTATTTAAGATCTGGGTTTGCACTATACAACATACCACACTTAGACTGTGTTACTATGAGGTCACATCTCTTCTTTCAGATGTTCCTCAGCTCCAGCAGCAGACCCCACAGTCTTCCTCATGATCAGACACAAACTCACCCCACATGGACATCGCACAGTATCGCTGATCACCCCGTCACTGGGGAGTCTGCTGAGCGCCTTCTCCACTTATCCCAGTGGAACGCTGGGATCCGTCCGAAGCCGACGAGGACGCCGGTGCCTCGGCTGAGTGTGGAAGGGCTCAGGGCGTTCCAGCGTTCACACAGGAGCGTTCCCAGTAAGTTTTCACAGTTCCTGCTGTTCCTCTGGGCTGAGTATGATGTAACCCCACATCAACAAGAAACCCGCTCAGGACAAACTGTAGGTTCAAAAGCTTCTGCAGGAAAGTGACTGCGTGCAGTTTCGCTCCCAAATGCTGAGAGGAGATTAATCATTTACTCTGTACTGCAAAATATTAATATACTCTTTGTGCGCTTGTATAAAAAGTCATTTAGGTCTCATACAGGGCATGTTTTGCTTTAGCCTAACAATTGTGGCACATCTGCAAACTGCTTTGCAACCCACCCCAGCCTGTCCCTTTCCTGCTGTATTGGACAATGTCATGTCCGAATAGTGATTGATATTTACATATGCAGCCGGCATCACACTTCTAACCTGGTCTTTGGTGAAATATAACTTAACATAAGAGGTCTGCTTCGTAGCAGAAGAAACACTGAGTGGATAAAATGTAGCTTAAGAATGGAAAATGCTCAGAACTGATTCTTCAGTTTATGAAGGCGAACAAACTAATCTTGTTTTTTTTAAAAGCAAATAATTAAGCAGATGTTTCTTAAACTCCAGAATCAAGGGAGGGGTGGATTTATAAAATCCTAAAGAATCTATATTGTGTGTAGCTCTGATCTGTGATGTACTGGTGTGATATAATTTGATTGATTTAAGCCTGTCCAGTGTACAATCAGCACTGAAAGATGACACCAACAAAAGCTGCAAAGAGTCTGAGAAGCAGAGGAGGAACAGTGTGTGTGAGAAGTGGTGCGGGTGTTACCAGTCTTAAAAACTGTATTCGCTGACTGTAGGTGCACCCCTGTTTGAGGTTCAGCCCTGGACCGCGTCTGCATCACATTCGCAAGAGAAGAAGTAGATCGCCCCCTCCTGGAGGAAAACAGAAGTACAGTCTGCAACCTCAAGACCTGGAGCTTCAATCTTTCTGCACATGCAGTGTGTAACCCTGACTAGATGTAGACAGATGGATCATTAGGAAAAATATTTGACATTTAATTCTATAAGAGAAATGACAAAGAGACAATGTCACCCATTTGTAGACAGTAATTCTAACGTATTTCTGTATTAGTACTGTGTTAACAGACGGGATGGGCAAATTAACTTAGAACATGAACACTTCAGTTTAAAATTGCTGAGTTATAATCAGCTGTAACACAAGAACGCCAAAACAAACGGTGTGTGTAAGAAATGTACCACCTTTATTATCCAGTCCACACGTCCCAGTCAATATGCAACAACACAGCAAAGCCATTTCTAACACCAGTGAGTCTGAACTCCAGAAATACGTAACAGTAAATGTCAGTTTGAGACAAAGTAACTGATTTTGATCAGTATTCAAAACAACTTGTCAACACACAGCATATGTTGGGCAAAGAGGGAAGCCTCGTGTACATCAATTATGACAGACAATGTCATTTTTTTATTAATAATAATAAAAAAAATCCACTTCAGTCAGATATGAAATATCACTCTCATACGCACAGCCGGCTTCAAACGAGCTTTCACTCGTTGCATATAAACATGGCCTCCAAAATGTATATATATATATATTACTAAATACAAGAGAAAGAAACTTATATGAAAGACGGTTAATTTACTGTTAACTAATCAGAGGATGAATGTTAAAGACCAGGAGTGTATTTATGGCTTTTGGATTCAAAATAAAGTAAAACTGGATGTTTCACAGGTTACGTCCTAACACGTGTCGGCCTGCGGCAGCTTTTAAGGCAAATGTGGCGCTTCGCAATGAGCCACAGACACCACAGGGGTTAATCGTCACTCGTGGATGACACAGTTATTACTGTAATTAGGTCGCGTTGTAAAAAGGCTCAAACAACAGAGCCTACAGCAGTTGAACAAAAACAAAGTAAAAGTTGACTGCTGTGCACGAGGATTCATTGCTTCGTATAATAGACGTGCTGTCCTGATGCACCGGTGATCAGATGACATCACAAATGAACTAAAACTAAAATTAAAGCACAGATTGTCCAACCGACTGTGAGCAGGCTCGAAACAAACCCCCCAAAATCAGAGAGAACCGTTCTTCTAAAACGACAGCAGAAGAACGAGCTACAGGCCGTGATCAGTGACAACAACCGTACACTCCGATGTTTCATTTGAGTTTCTCAGGCGTGAGTCTTGGAATTGCTCAGAAGACTATGATGAGTTTACACATGATCAAAAACCATATAAAAAACAATCTGGACACATTTCCCCTCCCAGTCCAGGAGAAATGTTACTCAATTCTTTCCTCAAAGAGACTCAAAAACAAAAGTGGAAAACAGAAGAAAACAGAATTTATTCAGAAAATTAAAGACATTTTTGGCTTTTCTTTTAAAGAAAGTTCAACAGCAAAGCCTCGCAGATTAAAAGTCACTCAGAAGACGGAAAACACACAATTATTGTCACGCAAGTCAAACACGACTGAGTAAAACGCGGCGGGTTCGGTGACGTCTTTCACCGACTTCTCATCAGTCGCACCCCTCAGCTTTGACACGCTGGATCTCACTGGACGTGCAAAGTCCGGTTTCATGTTCACAGTGTAATTCAAAGGCTGCTGGAGTTTGAACACAGAAAAGAGAGAGAACACACCAAGGTGCTCTTAGTGAAACATCGCCCCCTGCTGTAGTCTTCAGCCCTTCACGGCGACACAAACGATTAGAATGATTGTGCGTCTCATTGTGCGCGAGTCGACACACGCGAAGATGAAATATCTTCAGCGTCTGTCTGGATTTGAGGAGAAACAGTTTGATGGCCACAGTTCCAAATAGAAAATTGAAAAAGTACATTTTAAAGGACGTTTTCCTGCTGCCTGGGATCTTTATTTGTGAGCGCTGCTCGCAAAGCTCAGCACATGTGAGGCTGATAGGCAACCATCATTTGTGCTCTGACCGCTCGAGGCAATTATGTGAAGCCTCTTTCTTTTTGCACAGTGTGTACATGATCTGCAGGCTTCAGTAACTTGGAGGGAATCACTATGCAAATACACAAAAGTATTAACATCGACTCTTTAAATAATGTAAACATATACATCTTATCTGAGGTCAGAGCAGTGATCCTCTTCATATCTATTTATATATATATTTATATAAGAGAGAAGGAATATTACTGGAGCATCGTCCGGATGTTCTTCGGAGTGGTCTCGTCATTCAGGTGTTTTGTGGTGAATCTGAGGAGAAAAAGGAGTGGGAGTGGACGTTAGTGCACCAATGAAAACACCGAGGCCGCATAAAGAAGCTCCAAAGGAATTCTTGCTGACAAACACAAAAGCGATTTTCACACGTGCAGTTTGGACAGTTCTGTGAGAATCAGGTCAGGAAACTGTGCTCCTCAGACACGTTCACACTGCTGTGGTTTAGACCAGCAGTCCCAACCCCCGGGCCAGCACCGGTCCGTGATTCGTTGGGAATCCGGACGCCAGAGTTGAGGCTCAGGTGTGAAATTTATGGGTTTTTTTAGTGTTTTTATTGTCGGTGTTATGAATAAATCTTTTTTTTGGTACTGGTTTATTTTGTTGTATTTATCCGCGACACCTTAAAGTCCGGTCTGTGAAAATATCATCGGACATAAACTGGTCGGGGACGCTGGGTTAGATGATAAGGTAGCTGGAGACGTGTGCAGCCACCTAAACCTGCTCGCTGGCTTCAAATACACCAGACTGTCACCTGTACCGACCAACCCAGTGTGACATCACACACCTGCCAGCTCCCTTTTGCAAAGACCAGGCCACGTCCAACCGGATATTTGCTTTCAGCAGGTGGTTTTTTAAGGAAACTGTGTAGACATGGTTACAGTTCGGCTTTACCTCGGCAGGCACACGGACAACCTCTCATAACTTTCACAGCCAAAATTGGTCCATAGCATGAGTCAGAATCTTACATACAACCAGAATCAAACCCACACAGGAAAACTCGGCATCCAAAGGCGAGCTGTGAACCTACTTGAGTGCATTCAGGAGACCTTCTACGTTGTCTGCTGGCTGGTCCTTCAGGACCTTTATGCAGCCTTTCATCTGAAGACAAATCAATGATGTCAGCAAGGACTTACAATACTGTGTGTGTGTGTGTGTGTGTGTGTGTGTGTGTGTGTGTGTGTGTGTGTGTGTGTGTGTGTGTGTGTGTGTATGTGTGTGTGTGTGTGTGTCTTACATCTATCTTGGAGGACTTGTTGAAGGCGCCGTTGGGGTGGACGTGGTCATACAGAATGATGACTCCAACCATGACCCTCATGCAAAACAAGAGCGTGTCCTCACTGCTGAAACGACTCGAATACTCTCTGCACGCACACAAGAGGAGGATCAGGAAAGTTTAATGATTTATGTGTGTGTGTGTGTGTGTGTGTGTGTGTGTGTGTGTGTGTGTGTGTGTGTGTGTGTGTGTGTGTGTGAGAGACTCACGGCGTCTCAAGCATGACTTTACAGACGCTGGCCATGGTGCTGAGACAGTCTGTTGTGTTCTCCAGTGGAAGCGTCTTGTTCTGAACAAAGTCACATGTTATCATTACAAAGGCTGATGGGTAAAATAATTTTAGACCTGAAATTAAATTTCTGAAAAACAAGCGCAAAAAATGAACTTTGAACCTCGTTGTCCTGAAATAAAAGAGGAACTTTAGGCATTGACCTGTGGCCATCAATCTGCTGCTCTTCAGCTTAACAACAAAAGAAAATCATTCACAGAAAGATAAAGTAACTAAAGATAAAGTAACTAAAGATAAAGTAACTAAAGATAAAGTAACTAAAGTGCCACATGTAGTGTTTTTTTGTCATTTGAAAGATCAAAGCTGTGGCTCAGTATTCAGAGAAGCTCGTCTACAGCTGAAGGTCTGTGGCTCCACAGCAGCTACTGCTGTGGTTTCTCCTCAGGTAAGATCCTGAGAGTCAAGGCCCCGTGAAACGTCCATCCAACCTGTGTGTGCGTGTGTGTTAGCTGAGAGTGAAAAAGCTCGATACGAATCACTGCCTGTTCATGGTGGGCTAAACTAGGAGAGGGCGGAGACAACACTGACCTACACAGTAATCTGATGGCGCGGTCAGATTGGCTAAATGAGTTTAAGAGGCAGCATCGGTCACTCGACAGTGGAGACGTTTGAACCTGTCCACAGACATGTTGTCTGGTTAACTGCTGACTCTAAAGCTTGATTCAGACTTCAGTGGGAACTCTGTGTCCTCCGCGCCATCCGAGTCGCTGCGTCGACCTGATGGAAAGTTTCTCATGCGCCACGTTTAGGATTAAAAATACTTCCGGTTACAATGTGAGTGACAACGATGACAATAACAGTAACGTGTTTCTGTGTTTGGCCTCAGACACAGAAAACTAAAGAGCTAAAACATAATGTTTGAAGGTTGCCCTGCAACCCACTGTGACAGATCCACCCACTGTGACAGATCCACCCACTGTGACAGATCCACCCACTGTGACAGATCCACCCACTGTGGAAAACAATCAGTTGGAAATGACCATACAGAAAAAGCTGATATTTGTGTCACATTTATGAGGACAGACTCAACAAATATTGCTTTGATGAAATGCATCATCAAAGCCAGGAGGAACTCGCCGGCTGTGTTAGACTCGTACCTCTGTCACAAAGCTTGTGGTTGCATTGCTGAGTGTTTTCAGCATGGGTGTGGCCTCCGCGTAGAACAGAGACATCCTGTTGGCCATCTCGTTGTTGACTTCATTCTCTATGTCCAGCTGTGGGTGCAGAAATAACCACGAGGCTTCAGGTTTATTCCCAC